CAACAGCAGAGTCGGGAAGGGGGAAAGTCCTCGTGGTGGTGGTCGAGGGGTTAGATGAATTGGAAGAAGGCAGCATAGTTCATAGATCTTTTAACCCCCCATAAAAAGGGGGGGAGGGAGTTGCAGTCAAAGTCGGCCAGCCCCAGCAGCGTAGGCCTCCAGGCATGCCAGGCCCAGTCACACAGGTCCCCAGGGCCCCGAGGCACTCACCATCAGGCATATCCCTCCGGCAAATACCTCCCTTGGGCCCTGTCCTCCGCCCGGGCCGTTCTTCCGCCCGGGCTGCTGTGCCACTGTGCCGGCGCACCCTCCGAGCTACTGTATACCGCGCTGCTGGGCCGGCACAACCTCCGGGCCGCTGTATGCCACGTTGGTGGTCACTTCTCCCTACAGGCCGTCGGGCCACCCCGGTCACCAGGCCGCTAGGCCACCAAGCTGCCACGCCGCCAGGCCCCAGACTCTCATCGGGCCGCCAGATCTTCAACAAGCCGCAAGGCCGCCACTGCATCGGGCCGCCAGGCAGCCGCGTCAGGCCGCTAGGCCACCACAGCTTCGGGCCGTAGATTTTCCTCAGGCCGCCGAGCTGCCATCGCGTCAAGCCGCTGGCCATCGCCGCATCAGGCCGTTAGGCCGCCACCGCGTCTGGCCGCCGATTTTCCTGGCCGCTAGGCCCCAAGTCGTCACCACGCTGGGCTTCGCTGGGCCTCGCTAGGCTTCTCCACTCGCTAGGCTTCTCCGCTGGGCCTCGCTAGGCTTCTCCACTAGGCTTCTCCGCTCGCGGCCCCGCCCAGGTGGTCCCGCGGTCCAACGCGCCTTCTTCGCTCGCTGACCCTCTCCTCTTACCAGACTCCGGCCGGCGAGCACCCCCGGACCTTCAGAGGCTCCCCATCTCCGCTGAGGACCCCGCGGAGACTACGGAGCTGAAAGCAGTAGGTCCGCCATCACACGCATGCGCAGTAATGCGTGTGATGGTATCTTTATTTAAATAAACTTAAATAAAGATATTGTCTACAATATCAGTGACAGCAAACGTTCTGAAATACAAATATTTGTTGTGTCATACATATTCTAGTATTATCAAGATTTCCAAAAAAAATTAGACCATCCAAAATGGGGAATTCAAAAAAAGAGAATACAGTATACAGGAGCTTACAGAATTGCCTAAAATAAAGCATGTATGTTGTCAGTGAAAAATACCTTTTCCATAATGATAGACATCTATGGAAAAGTTCATCCAAAATTAAATTTTAGAGTGTCCTTAGTGAAATGAAAAGGTTAAGTAATATTCAATATTTTATTTAAGACATAGATCATGATTTTGCCAAGCCTGGGTGATCCCTTACCTTTTCAGAAAGAGTTTACAAGAGAAACAGGCTTGGTTATTATTGTAAGCTGTGTAATCATTATTATGCCGGATGCCTGATAGAGACTTTGATCAGGATTTAAACATGGACTACTTCTGTATTGCCTGTTCAGTTAGAAGGCAGTTGTAAAACACAAGCTAGAAACTAAGAATATTTAAAGAATTAATATTTTCTAAAAATAAAGACTGATCTTATCTTTACCTTAAAACTGTTGTG